CATCAGAACATGTTCTATGCAACTGCCCAGCGGTGGCAAGACGTAGACTCGATTACCTTGGTAGCGGGATCCTGGTCCCAAATCAAATAGGTAAAATTAAGCCCACTGCAATTATAAGATTTATAAATAGTCTAAAATTGTCCTAGTTGGGCCTATAGGCGCACAATAGATCTTTTAGGTCGGGGTGCACAAATAGCCTATTTTTTAAATAATAATAATAATAATAATAATAATAATAATAATACTGATACTAATGATGCCATAATGATACATATGGTCCTGATGACTCTTATAAGGTAATAATAATAAAGAATAATATAACAATTATAAATATATAATAATAATAATATAATATAATAATAATAATATAATATCATAATAATAATATAATATAATACTAATAATAGTAATGATACTGATCATGATAAGAATAGAATGAGATAAAGATTATTTCGATTATGCTGATATGTATGACAAGTACTTTAATATGCAATGAAAATTATAACCATATTGATGATTATATTTATAATAATAACGGTGTTGGTACCGGTTAGAGTCATCATTATTATGTCAACAATGGTAGTGATGGGATGATAATAATATTTGTGAATATGGTGATAAAATTATGTTGAATGTAATGATAATATTTGGAGAAACACTTATAATAATGTTGTTACTGATGACGATGATTCTGATTTTCATGTGCTAGTGATGATGATGCTGATGATTTGAAGATATTGATGATGAGAATAATAATTATGGCAATGATGGTGCAGATAATGATGGTGAAGATAATTAATTAATTATTATTCTGATGATAATAATAAATAATATGATAACGATCCTTTGATGTTGTTGGTGATATTTGTAATGTTGATGCTGATAATATAAGGCAATTATTTAAAATTATTTATTAAGGTAATTATTTATTTAAAAATTTAAATGAATACTGAAATTTTGAAATAAAACAATAAATTCTTTCTTTCTTTCTTCTTAGAAACCGTTTCCTCTAGTGGAGCATTAACCGCATTAGCCGCATTAACAATAAATTAGGTAATGGGCGCTCTCGATGTTAGGAGAAGAATGCAATGATTTACAGCGGCCACTGCACAAAACTTGTACAAAACTTGTTCGAATTTTGTAAGTCCATATTTTCTTTAGAAGACCCAAACAGTGGTGAAGAAGATCAGTAAAAATGTGAAAACACTGAAGCAATTAAAAAATATATGAACCCAATAAATTTTAGAAGTGCAGTGGAAATATAGTAGACCACCTTAAATGTCTTGACTTTTACAATAAATTAAGTGAAACAAAATTAATTATAGAGTTTTTTTCGAACAGTGGTGAACTACAACAACAAAAATTCATTTTTGTATTATTATAATTAATTGAATTTTTGGCTGACCATACAGGGAATATTCGGCCAAATACCCATCATCAGTGGTCTTGGAAATAATCCTTGTATTTAATTATTTGTAAATAATTATTTTTGAGACTGCAAGTATCAGGAATCGAACTCGGGTCCTGCTAAATGTGAAGCTCAGAATTAATTATAGTTAAAAACAATTTGTTTTAATACACATAACTTCATACTATAACAATTTAAAAAAATTCAAAGTTGCTTTTAAGATGCAGCAAAAACAACTTATTTTTATCAAGTTAAGATTTGTTCGTTTCCATTGGTATAAGTTGATTTATGCATGCGAGAGACCTTTTATATGTCAAAAAGTTCTGGAAGAGCTTTTACTTGTTTAGAATTCAGATCATTTTTATTTTGGAAAATATATTTAGCAATTTTGCATTCGACATTTTTGGTGTGATTCACCTTAATTTGTCTTACCCTAATCATATAAAGTACTTTAACAAAAGCAGTAAAAAGATACTATTAGAGACGTCAGTACTAGTCTAGTCTATTATCATAATTCTACAGCTGATTTATGATTTTGTTCTAATATAACACAGCAAGTGAATTTGCTAAATAACTTTCACAGTAAATTAACAAAACTTCAACTTCGAACATACAAGTCATTATTATCAGAGTCATTATCTCCAACATTTTTTTTGAAAACCGGGAAAATATTTTAAAAATACTGTAAATTTTTAAAATGGATATAGAGAAAAAACTGTAACTGTTATTAATTTAAAATAGAGAAAAAAATAATAATTCACATACCTGAAATCCACTAAAGCTAATAAAACTATTAAATGCCATCCTTTATAGCTAAAATAATCAACTTTTAAAATTTCTCAGATACAAATGATGTATGGAGTTTGAATTTAAATTTTTGTATAGTTTATTTGCGCGGCTTTACACACAAAGCGGCTTTACACAAAGCTGTACGAAGAAAATCTGAAAGAGCGTATTTTGGCACTTTTTTGTGTTATGCTCTTCGTTTGTACTTGTGTTTACTTAAGTTTTATTATGAGTAGCTCGTGGAAAAGAACTAAATTTTACTTGAAAGAAAATGTTCGAATAAAGTCTGTGTAGCATTTTCAAATTTCGGCAGGGATGTTACACATTCTCAGATGTTCTCATTTATTTGAAAATTTGCTGGTGGGACATACTTGTGTATACATAGAGCCACACGAAATTACTAAAAGTAGCTCGTGGAGCAGACCTAATATCATTTTTTATTAAATTTTTGTCAGTGTACGAGATGAAATGCAACTATGTATTATTTTTGACAGCTACTGTATTCTACAAACATTTTTAGCACGTCATTAGTTTTCTTTATTTTCTACAAATTGTGCAAAATTGTGAGTTGTACTTCGGAGATAATTGTGTTAAATATTTTATTTTATAATGCAGTGAGTACGTACGTTTCCTGCTTATTTTTGTTATTTATTTATACAAAAAAAAAGTGCGTGTGTGTGAATGAAGTGAGCATAGAAAAACACAAATACGTTATGTATTCCTTCAGCATATTCCTTTCCCCTTAAAAATGCAAACAAATAGATTTTGTAGATTTAAGTGCATTCAGTGAAACAAAGTTCTACCAAACAAAAACATATGTAAAGATATTTTGAAATCCCTGCATGGACAAATAGCAAACTGTGTATTTGCAATAAAAAGTTATGGAAAAGTTTCCATTGAAGGGTAACAGGGAAGTTGCGGCCGAAGGAAACAGCTACATAACTGCGTACCAGTCTGTACTGAAGAAGGTGAGTGGCTTGAACAAGTGGGCGTACGAACGTTGGGCAGATAATTTAATATTGCATCTTGTGTGAATAATAATAGAAAATCAACTTTAGGAAATTATCTCAGTAAAGAACAAAAATGTTCATTCTTTTCTTTGAAAAATTAATTTTTTAATTTGATTAGAAATGCATGGAGAGATAGGGGCGGAAATGCATATCTACTCTACATCCTACTCTATTCGATTGTTGATTCTATTTTCGAATACTGAATACTAACATTCAGTATATTAATATTTAATTACTTAACCCAAATTTAAAGTTTAAGGTGGTATTTGGGCTGAAATTCTAATAATGCAAACAATCAAGTAGTATATATATATATATATATAATTTATTTGAAACTCTTACAGATACTCGTATTTATGACTTTGCATTATTGTTGTATTGTTGGAATACCCAAACACGAATTCATTTAATTTATTGTATATAAAGTTTCACGATTTAGTTTATTTCGCTATATAAATCATTCAACTGTAAATGTTACTCACGTACGTGCTCATGTTAAAAATTAATATAAAAAAATAATATATAATTTAGTTTATTAAATACATACTTACATATGTACATTCAAAATAAATTCTTTCATTTGCAAATGCTTCTTTTGTATATTTTTAATTTTAAACAATTACAGTCTATATACATATTATATATCTGAAGTATGATTTTGTATCTGAAGTATATTGCTGTAAACCACAGCAATAGATGATTTCAGTTTAAAACAACACCCAACCACTTACTAAAAATAATATATATATGTATATATATATATATGCGTATACAGGGTGTTTACTGTTCAAATTCCATTAATTTCTGAACTGATTGGTCGGTTCAGGTTAGATTAGGTTTAGTTAGGACCATATCACACAAACAGTCATATGAGAATTGTTATTGCAATTTTACACTATATTTGGTCATGACCAAAAGATATATTTTTCAGAGAGTCATATCACAATTGTCAATTTCCTACCTATACTACTATTCTAATACGTTTTTCTGCGCCTAAATTTAAAAAGTAATTATTTTTGTTTGAACATCATCCACACAAAAATTTGCTTAAATATCCACACAAAAATAAAAATACGATCTACTCTTAATAGGCGTAAATTCTGTCATTTTATCAATTCTGTCACCGTAATCAAATTTAAATCAAAATTTCTCTCTGTTCCTCAAACTCAGTTTTTTAATTTTCATTGAAAACAATACAAATTTCATATTTAACGTGACTTGAGCACTTTTACTCTCCATTAACTGCGAGCTTTCTTCGTAACCCCTCTCTACGCCTTGACTGGATTATTGTTTATCACTTCATTAGACTAAGCTATAATTGAGATGGATAACTGCCCGAGGATCCTGTAACCATTCTGAGATTTGATAACGCGGAGTTGGTAACCCTCTCAGTTTTTGTAAATAATTTTAGGGTTTTATCCTTTATGTATTTTTTCAACGGATCAATCTTGAGGTCCTTGAGCATGTCATTCGTCCTAATGTACCATAGTACCTTGAAAATTCTTCTTAAAGTCTGGCTTTGTGCAATTTCTAGATGGCGAATTGTAGTGTTTGAGGCCTTGCTAAACGCTACACATCCATATAGAAGTGACGGTCGAATTATTTGGTTATATATCAGCTTTCTCCTCTTAGCATTGAGATTTTCATTTCTAAATAGCGGTTAGAGGTGATGAAGAATTTTGGCACAGCAAATTCTTTTCAATTGAACATGTTTAAGTCATGTAAATAATTTGTCCACCGTGATGTCTAGATATTTAATGCTATCCTCTCAGTTAATATCTCCCACTCTCACTATCGACGGATTCTGTCAGCACTTACGTGTTATAAAGGCAGCCTTAATATTTTCATTATTGATTTTTATTTTCCTTTTTTGAAAGTACTCCAGGATGAGGTTTATATACTATTGAAATGTATTGGTTATGTTGAGACCATATTTATCCGAGTATAACGTATAAGTATCGTCAGCATATAACGCCAGAGTCGAGGGACCTAACATTGGGATATAGATCCCTAACAAGATCTGCTAGAGCCTGTCATTGCCTTTGACGTATCGCACTGCCCATTCTATTTGTGTTATTATCTATAGCGCTACAATTTTTTTGACAGCTTCGGCTATAGCCGCACACCTCTTTACGCGAGATTTTCGATTTTATTTGTATATATTTTGTCAGAAATACTTAGTTAAGATATATTTATATACATTTTATCGCTGTTTTTTTTTAATTTAATAGGGCAACTTGTTTTGGTTTCTCATATTATAGTTATTATTTTGTGTAGATACTATAATGCAAGCTTATCTTCACTTTTAAGTATTTCAGTTTTCAGAGTATCAAGAGCAGGCGATATTTTTATGACTTAATAAATAAAAAATTTCAGAAAAAATTGAATTTTGCAAAAGCAAATAAGCAATTTATAAAAAATACTTATTACCAGCAAAATTAAAAACAGACCTAACAACAATTGATGATATTGCAATAGTATTGCAAACCCACGTTATGGAATCTGCTTGAGTATTTTTCTACTAAATATTAGGTATTCAATATTTTGAAATTATAGAGTATATGAGTCACGTTCAGTTAAAAAATTAAAGGTAGTATGGTTGTTATTCTATATCTAAGTTATTTTTCGGTTGATACTGATTGTAAGACAAACAAATTTTGTGAATTGCTCTTCAATGTTAAATTGAGTATTCTTTTATTATTCATTAAAGTTCCGATTCCTAACTAATAATACCTTAACTATTAGAAAAAATTAATGTCATGTAATTGATCAGAGTTTTCAATAAATAATATAATTTACTGTATAACTCGATGCCTACACTGGCAAGATTTTAGCAAGATTCTTATGGTCATATGCAACTACGTAGAATTTTCAACTTTTGTGATTGGCAAAATTCTTGCCAATGTCTAGCCAGTGTAGATGGTGATCTACCATGTTATAGTAGGTTTGTTCCACCAGCTACTCATAGTAAAACTCGAGTAAAACACAAGTAAAGTACAAACTGAGAGCGTAATCCAAATAAAGTACCAAATTATGCGCTTTACACAGATTTTCATGGAACACACAAATTTTACTTGAAATAAAATGTACGAGTAGTCTGCGTAGCATTTTCAAATTTCAACAGGGATGTTATGTTACGCTCTCTCAGTTGCTCTCGTTTACTCGAAAATTTGATGATGGAACGCACTTGTATATACAAAGTGTTACACAAAGTTAATACTAGTAGTTCGTGGAACAGACCTAGTTTTTGACTATTTGGTAACGGAAGAGTATACAACCAGAAATTATTATCAACACTTCATATTTAAATATAAAAATCTAAAAAAAAGTTAGATCTATAACATATTCTTATTCTTATTTTAATCATTGGAATTACTTTCCTAACTATATCTTAATATATGGTATATATTAATATACAATGCATTATTTTTTTTTAAAAAATTTCTTTCTAGTTAAATGCAATTGTATAGAACGTGTTAGTAAATATACATTTTTATTAAATTAACATATAAAATGTATTCAAGTTATAATAAAAAAAATTTTCATAACAAATTCATTAACCTTTAAGATAAGATTTTTTTACAATACTTTTTATGAGCATTAATTTAATTTAAAAATTTCTTTTATAAACACATTTAAGCATTCAGTAAAAATAGATAAAATTTTTGTTTGCTCACTTCAAACAAAATTAAGAGGCAACTTATTGGCTTCATAAAATTATTCTAAAATATAAAGTAACTTCCTAAATAACTAAGTCAAAAAACTATATATATATATATATAGTTTTATATATTAAAGTTAGGCGTCTTAAATTTTTTATCAATTCCGCAATTTTTAATATAAAAAATATATTAAAATACAAGATAAGAAAATGTGAACATTGCGCAGTAACATTAATCAGAACAAAGTCTGGGAACTTAGTTGTTTAGTTGCAGCTGCTGATCAGTTGATTTTCTTAGGCTTCTCATAATTTGGCACATATTCACCGTTTAAACACTACCTTTCTTGTAATAAACTGCTTCACATGAACTAAGTCATTTCTGTTGGACTTTATACATTTTAATAGATCCTTTGTTTTTACCGATGAGCAATCCAACAGATTCCCGAGAAAGTATTTCCTTAAAAACCGGTCTGTGTGTTAACTAACCAACGCTAGGGACTCACAAAGGAAATGTGTAATTGCTCTTCTTAATCTTAGTTTCCACACTTTTATAATACAATATATGCTGAAAGGAATGATCAATTTCTCTGCATATAGTCCTATACGTAAATGACCTGATGGAACTGCAATTAGCCTAACTGTTTGACTCAATCTTAACTAATTAGTTTACAAATTCTGATATTAAAAATGATAAACGTAATGAACAGTTTCTATAGACCAGTGCTCTGAAGGAACTGTAATTAGCCTATTAGTATTCACTCGGTGACTTAATAAGTCACCAGGCGTTTATATTTTTGTACGAAAACGGTGTAGGCCAGGACGACCAAGATGTTACACAAATTGTGAGTAACTTCCACCTATTATTAGTTAGCTGAAGAAAAGGAAGTTCCGAGGCGTGTCGTATTGTTTGCCATTTCATTCTTTTTAACATTCCTATGACAGAAGGCCTGATGTGGGTAATGTCAGGGGTCGAATTTGATTGTCAACTAACATTGTTCGACTAACTTTGATTTTATAGTAAAAGATTGATACCCTCAATTGTCGCTGATTGGGTTTCAATAATTGGGTGATTGAGGTTCAGTTTAAACTTAACTGGCCATCCTCCCTAATAGCTAAAATTTCAGCCTAAAGATTTTGCAATTTTGCTCATATGACTTGATTATTTTTCGGGATATTCATTTGTCAGATTGCCTGAGTAGAAATATCTATTTAGGTTTGATTCAATTTTAAAGCTATAATGCAATAGGAGTTAAGAACAAATATATTGATTGGATGCTTCGTGTAAATATATCTGAAATATTGATTGGATTCTTGGTTTAAGTATATCTAAATTCGGATTAATCATCGATATGTATACTGGACATACGCCTATCACTTATTATCTGGGATTTAAAGTCATTGATTAATGCAGATTCTGTAAAATGTAGAATGAATCATTCGTCCATTTTATCTGCTCGTGGTCTGTGATTAGCAGGAGGCGAGTTTGGCATCTCTACATGGCTTTCATTGCATAGAAAGAGATGTAGAGCCAAGAGATATTATTGGGTTTACCAATAGCCTTAATTTGTCCGGGTAAACTTAGAAGGGTCTCCCACCTCCCATGCACTAATAATATTAGTTGTACTATTAAAGAACAAAGTTAATTTAAAAAGTATTCATGGGAGTTAACTTAGGAGATTCTCTCTCCCTTCTAATAATAATATTAGTCGCGCTTTTAAAATGTCGTCTCTTAAAAAGTACTCATGTGCGAAAATGACGATACTTTCGGGTCGTCATCGAAATCTCTATAAAGGAATGTGTTGAAAATATGATTTGTGGAGAACTTCTTGATACTTTCAAACTAGCATATAAAAGAGTGTTTCGCACGTTTACTAAATTTTTCATTTTGGCCGGAAAAGTTATAAAATAATTAAATAATAAATTTAAAAAATTGTTTATTAATTTTAATTATTTTTTATAACTCACTGAAATTATATGGGTTCATTAAATGAATCTGCAGAATAATCATAAATGTTCAAAAACCATATGTTTAATTTTGTTAGACCAGAGATCGTAATTACTCGTATTATCGATTTTAATAATTAACACATTGTTTTGTTAAGATTGCTCTCGGTTTGCTTTATAAATCTCATAAATTTAGTATCTTTGCACAACTTAATGGAGCAGCAACTATTTAAAATTGTTTTTTGATTGTTAAAATGTTAAAAAATAAAATTAAATTTATGTTACATTATCTCAGGTAAACGGTCATACAGGAAGTGACGTAAATTCGCAAGATCATCCGCTAGCCTCATCTGGAGTACTCGGTGTGGCAGCTACTACATCATTAAATACAACAGACGATGATGAAATGATTGACATAACGCCCAGATCAAGTCCGGAGGATATACATCCAAGTAACAAATTCAATTCATATAGCAGGCATGTAGCCGAAGACTCAGACATGGAAAGAGAAAGAGATCGCAACGTCAGACAACATGTGCCAACACACAGCGCTTTTGGTGACTCAAACGATGGTAAATAAAATTTTTATATACTTTGTGTACTTGGAATTATTAATTGTTTTTACCAGTCATGTATGTCATGTGTGCATATATACATATATGTCTATATATATATATATAATCGTATATAAAAATATTTATGAATTCTGTTTTAAACCATAGGCGTAGTCTTGAGGGTATAACATCACGTCTGATATATATATATTACAGGTGGTGATGATAATATCTTTTTATCTGTTTTGAATACCTTCAACGTTATTTTGCGTGCGTCATTACAACGAAAAGTCATAGATAAAATAATTGATGAATTAATCTAAAAGATTTTGTGGAACTTTGCAATTAACGCTTTATTAGTGTTAAACAAATTTATTTACACTTCAAGCACGTGAATACTATTGATATGCTGGTACGGAGTCTGCTTTTATTTGTACAACAGTTTTTTTTATCAGTTCCATTATTTTTATTCTACGTGTTTATACCAATGGCTTCACAATATGACATACTCGTGCTGATATGTATAATATGTATATAAATTATATACTTATTACATTTCCATTTATTTATTATTATAATAATTATATTCAAATCATGACTGGTAAATATTTATAATAGGTTCTATATTGATAATTTGAATAATTTTTTTATATATAATTTTTTTATATATACAAAGGTTTTAGAAAGCACCTTGTATCCACCCACAAAATAGTTAGTATTACATTATTATTAATACAATTAAATTTATTTAATGTGATACAATATTGTTTATTTTATCAGTTTTGGGAAAATGACTATCGAAGCTAGTAAAAATATTAGAAGTTTATTTTATTAAAAACATTGTTTAACTAATAAACTGAAAATGTACTGAAACTCTGTTCTTAATAACTTACCATTAGACCGTTTTATAATTAACAGTCTTAATAAAAAGTTTTTCTTCATTGGTGAATATATTTTAAGTGCATAGAAAAGCTTGGATACATGAAGATTCTTCTCAATTTAGTACAACGGTAATGGTGCTGCGTGTTAGGAAGGTTTATAATCAGACTTGGTGTATCCTCTAATGATTTTCATTGGGGTTGATGAAAGCGGGCAGAAACTCTACTACACCTGGCAGATCACTGCATGTAAGGTAGATATGTTAAGACATGCAATAAGGCTCGGTCTGTCTTCTAACAATTTTTGTTGGGATTGATGCTCTGTGGATAAAGGGAAACTGTACTCCACCTCATGTGTCTGTGTTCACAATGAATCAAAATCTTTTGTAACTGTTCTGACAGATCTGAATATCCTTATATTGCCAACTTTATGGACTTATCAGGTTGTAAAATCCTTTTGGGGGAATTCATCCAGAATCGATTCTTGCAGATGATTCTAGCAAAAGAGCAAATCAAGCAATTACTGTCCAAGCAACACATTTTTGCGTTTCATACATACGGACACACAAATGGCGGCATGTTCAGTACAGCCGTCTTTCTAAGATGCATCCAACGATCCTTTTATTCATATCATAGATATATTGATACCTTTTGCAGCGGAGCTAACATCAATAAGGCCTAAAAAGGTTCTTAACAGATTTTCGACTTACATTTCTCAAGAAAATGACGATTCCCCTGGCCAGCATGAACAGTCCTAGCACAACTGAGATAGTATACAGCCATGTGCTAAACAGTTACTTGTCACGCATAAACACATCTATTCCTAATGTGTGCTCAAGCTGCAGCTCTATCCCTCATGACATTGCTCATCTGTTCTTTTGCTCCACTGCACACACAAACCTGAGTCCAATCGCCCTTTGTACACACTCCATTGAAGTGGCCATGTTTCTTCGCCTTGATCCCGGTTGATTTCAATTAAAATCCCTCTCATCCCCAATCCACCCCTACTCCCCAATCGAGTCCTCTCCACCTTCACTCAACTATTATTTATCCACATTTTGATCCATGTATTCATACTGTAATTCATTTCATAATATCTTGTTTCCAGATCTCTTTCATTGAAAGAGTAAGCCGCACCTTTTCTCTATTCACGTTTAACGTGATCGTTTAGGTGTACTGTACGGACAGTCTCTCTTTTGTGATATCATATTAGGTAATTATTTATGGCCAAGTGAGCACTTAATACTATAATGTTCCAGCTCCCAACTTGCCGAACCTATGAACCGAATATATTCTAGTAGTTTATTTATTTTGATTTTTGCGTTAAAAAATATGTAAATATTTACAATATTAAATTATTCCCTTTCGATGTAATAGGAAACTCTATTGTTTGACTTGGTACTATGACATATAAGAGTTCTCAATTTATGTAAAAATATTATTTTTATATATTTGCAGGGGGATTATCATTTTATGGAGGAGCATCAGGTAAGCTATATGGTATATGTTAATAATATAAAATGTAATTAACTTTTGATCTCTAAAATTAAAATTTAATATTTTATAGATGTACATGATGATATGCTGGGAATCGGTCAGTATGAAGATTTCCATACTATTGATTGGCAACGTGATATTGCCAGAGATCGAATGCGACACAGGTATATAGTTAAGAAGAGACAAGATTCGTTATTGGATTTACTAAAGGTGAGAACATTTTTCATTGTTATTTTTTTTTATAATTTAACTTAAAATTTATTCAACATTATTTAAGGGTGCCCACGATGCTTGGTCTGGCTGGCTGTGCGTGTTATTTGTGGGTATTGCGGCGGGTTGTGTTGCTGGCATGGTTGATATTGGCGCAAGTTGGATGTCAGATTTAAAACATGGCATATGCCCGCAAGCCTTTTGGTTTAATCGAGAGCAATGTTGTTGGCCAACAAAACAATCAGTCTTCGAAGAGGGCAATTGCTCAACGGTAACTATAACTAATAATTTATATATATATCATCAACTCAAATTAATATGTTTATTGTTATTGTTTAGTGGAAAACATGGCCTGAAATATTTGGATTTAGTCGAAATGGCACTGGTCCATATATCATCTCATACATATGGTATATATTGTGGGCGTTACTCTTTGCCGCTCTGAGTGCATCGTTGGTACGCATGTTTGCGCCATATGCTTGTGGTTCCGGTATACCAGAAATTAAAACAATACTCTCAGGATTTATAATACGTGGATATTTGGGCAAATGGACTTTGTTAATAAAATCTGTTGGTCTGATGTTGTCAGTATCTGCTGGTTTAACATTAGGAAAAGAAGGACCAATGGTGCATATTGCTAGTTGTATCGGAAATATTTTTTCACATGTTTTTCCAAAGTATGGACGCAATGAAGCAAAGAAACGTGAAATTCTTTCAGCTGCAGCAGCGGCAGGTGTATCGGTAGCTTTTGGTGCACCAATCGGTGGTGTTCTTTTTTCACTCGAAGAAGTATCATATTATTTTCCTTTAAAAACATTATGGCGCTCATTTTTCTGTGCGCTGATTGCTGCATTTGTATTGCGATCTGTAACACCATTCGGTAATGAACATTCAGCATTGTTCTTTTTGGAGTACAACGCACCATGGATATTTTTCGAGCTTATACCTTTTGTATTTTTGGGCATTATGGGAGTAAGTACTTGTTTAAATATTTGATTGTTTTGCATATGTTATTCTGTCGAAATATATTTTAGGGTGTCATTGGCACAGTATTTATTAAAGGGAATTTATGGTGGTGTCGTTATAGAAAGTTTAGCAAATTGGGTCAATATCCAGTAGTAGAAGTACTCGTCGTTACTTTGGTCACTGCAATTGTCTGCTTTCCCAATCCATTTACACGCATGAATATGAATGAACTAATCGATTTACTTTTTAATCAATGCTCGCCTGGAGACACAATTAATCCACTGTGGTAAGTGAAATGTATGCTTATAGTTTCCTTAAGATGTGTAGTTTTTAATTTAAAGTATAAATGTTTTTATTATACGCTTTATAACAAAAATACGTATATATATTTCAGCGATTACACGCGGAAAAACATCACAATTGGCGCTTCATCAATGATTGAGGTTACAGTGCCTGGTCCAGGAGTATACAGTGCAATATGGCTGCTTATCTTCACATTCTTTTTAAAGTTAGCGTTAACAGTTTTCACATTTGGCATGAAGGTGCCCGCAGGTTTATTTGTGCCATCTTTATTGTTAGGCTCAATCATGGGTAGAATCGTTGGTATCGGTAAGTAAAAATAAATTTAATAAAAATAAAATTTATTAATATATTTTATATCTTTATTAAGGTGTTGAACAATTTGCATACAGCTATCCAAATATTTGGTTCTTAGCTGGCGAATGCTCCAGTGGTAATAATTTAATCACTCCTGGTTTGTATGCAATGGTGGGCGCTGCAGCTGTTTTGGGTGGGGTAACGCGTATGACAGTTTCGCTAGTAGTTATAATGTTTGAGCTAACTGGTGGTGTTGGCTATATCGTACCATTAATGGCAGCTGCTATGGCTTCAAAATGGGTAGGAGATGCACTTGGTAGACAGGTAAATATGAATTTCACGTATTTAAGATTTGATTTTTGCTTAAAAAAATACATAAATACTATTCATTTGTTAAAGTAGACTTCTTGGAGTCTTAATGTTTATCTTTACCATTCAAATTTACTTATTCTTCTAGATTAGATTGTAAATAAAATGTATAATAAAAATATCTAGTTTATTAGGTTATATAGAAATCAAAACGTCACACGTAGGAAATATTACCGAGTCATAGCACGTAGACAAAGATTAATAGTCATGTTTTTTTAGATAATTCTGTGTAAGATAAAAGAAAAAGATTTCAATTGAAATTAAGTTAATTTAGTTCAATTAAAATCATGTGAGTAATAGTAATAGTTGTTCACATGTTTTAATTTTAATACATATGATTTATTTATCAAAGCATTTCTTACAAATGTGTAAATAAACTCTGCATGAATTGAGGATTGGAAAAATATCCAATGTCTCTTGGTTAGACTTGTACCAATTTTTTTTGAAAAAATTAAATCAAAAAAGACTAAGATACAATATTTTATAAACCTGCTGTTGCAAATATGGATTTTCCTGCTCTTGCAATCCATAGACGAAACATGACACACGATCATTTTTTGCAACAAACCAACAGAAATTGAGCGAATATTTCTTCAGAACAAGGTTAAAAGCCATATGGCTTTTAACTAGTTTCATACTCCAAATCTAGAACCTCTGAAATTAGTCCACATTAGTAAATTTCAAGTATCTAAGGTAATATCGGTCCTAGCGGGACACTTGACTATATGACGCCATGGAACCAGGCTTTACAAATCTTTTGTAGTAATTGTCTAAAGACTTAAGTTCTTATGCATCCCATTTTTGGGACTTAATCTAACCCATTTATAGTTTAAATACCCAACTTTCTTTCCATAATATCGAGAAAAGTGATAACAAAAAAGCTTTGTTAGTTAATTGAACTCGATTTGATTCTTTTACACCTATGCTGTTAACGCCGCGGGTTTATTGAGAAACCGTGCCTTAGACTAATCTGTAGTGTTACTATCTCTGCAGTTTATATACCCCACATTCTTTAGCGGCAGATAATGTCTACTAGTTTTTAACCCTGGTCATCTATGGGCCCTAAAATTAATATATTATCAAATATTAATTTGAAATTAATAATCCCTATTTACATTTTATTTATTAAACTTAAAATTTAATAAAAATAATAATTGTTTATATATTAAATATAATTTTATTTGTACCTATTTTAAATTTATACGAATTTTTTATTAATTTTTATGAAAAAAATAAATAAATAAATTTAATATTTATTATTAAAAGCTATACAAATAATTTTATTCCAAATATTTTATCCATTTAAAATATTTTATATTTTAGGGTATATATGATGCTCACATTGCACTAAATGGGTATCCATTTTTGGATAGCAAAGAGGAGTTTGCTCATACAACACTCGCTGCAGATGTAATGCAGCCTAAGTAAGCATAACTTAATATATTTATATAAATTTAAATACTATTTATTTTTAAATGTATTTTTAATTAAACTTTTAAATTGCAGACGAAATGAAACATTAAATGTCATAACGCAGGACTCAATGACTGTTGATGACGTTGAAAATTTATTAAAAGAAACTGAACATAATGGGTATCCTGTTGTGGTATCGAAAGAAAATCAATACTTAGTAGGATTTGTTTTAAGAAGAGATCTCAATTTAGCAATTGGTAAGCAGAATTTTAAATTAAATTACAATCATAGATAAAATGTTATTACACTTTTATTATTTTTTAGCAAATGCCAAACGACTTATTGAGGGTCTTAATGGCTCATCAGTAGTACTATTCACATCCACTATGCCAACACAAAATCTTGGACCACCTGCTTTGAAATTAAAGAAAATTCTCGATATGGCACCAATTACCGTTACGGATCAAACGCCAATGGAAACAGTTGTCGATATGTTCCGTAAATTAGGTTTACGACAAACATTAGTAACACATAATGGGTAAGTAGGATATAGTATGATTATTACTATAATTTAATAACGATATTGATACAAATGATAAGTGAGTGTCTTAATAAGTTTTCATCCTAATTTTATAAGAATATCAGAACTGATCTGAATAAAATCCTTTTTTAAATATTTAATAAGTAAAATGAATCAAAGATTTTTTTTAATAAGTATATAATTATGTTTTTATATAGTTACAAATCCGTTAATCCATATCAATTCCACAACATTTATGCTATATGTTTTCATATGTTTGTTTGTATATTATATGCATATTGCTTGTATATATTGTATATTTAAATTCCTTTTACATTCATATTCTTATCAATTGTTTTATATATACTAGTACATTTATATATATTAAGTGCTCAAGAACTGAAAACGTCCCGTAAATTTTGGAGTTGAACTAAACTAGGGGTGTTTAGAAATCGAAAAAATTGTATAGAATATTTTGAATATTTACCAAAATAAAGTGTGTCTAAAGACCTTTCTAAAAAAATCGCACTATCCTAAAAAAGGTTTATTCAAATTGCTGAGTTTATATATTGAGTTAATCTAATTTATTTTTTTTTTTAATGTCTAAGATGTCATTGCAGTATAATGTTACAGAAAATTTTAATTTTAATTTTTTATAAAATTAATTGTTATTTTTTTAACATCTTATTATGGGTAATTAAAGAATGCCACAACGCGTTCTGGGTGGAATTTAATCTAACCAGTTTTATACTACAAATGTCAGTCGTTCTTTTGTCATATGCCAAAAAAAAAAACGTATATATTATCTTTTAACCCCAACACATTTTACAGTTATGTACTATGTGATCAATTTAGCTCATTCAAATAAATAACTAAGTGCCAAGTAACAGCACTAAAAATAATGACACATTAGAAAAATTAAATAAAGGAACTAAAAATTGCTAGCTAAACAGCATTAAAAATTATAAAAAAAATTTATATATTTTCAATATTAAAATAACTTATTTTTTTATTATAGACGTCTCTTGGGTGTTATCACGAAAAAGGATGTACTGCGGCATGTGAAAAAAATGGATGATGAAGACCCTAACACGGTTTTGTTTAATTAAATATAAATTAATTTAAGTAAACTAAGTTGCAACATTATTGTTAGCGACAGTCATTTTAAGATGTACGCGTTAGCATTTTAAAATGCTGTTTATATTTGTCATTAATAGTAAAATTCTTTATTTTTTATGTGAAATCTATATTAATTTTTTGATGTTTATTTTTTTCGTAATTATATTTTATGTACAATATATTTAACGTCATTAATTATAAAAAATTATTTATTATTATATTTGTAATATTATGCTATATAAAGTGATCGTAATTTACTTTTAAAGTGACTATTGAGATATTATATTTAATTTACTCATTTTTAGTTTAAATGTAAAATCATTAATAACTTTTGTAAGCAAAAACTTTTATTTAAACAAAATCGATGTGTTACTACTATTCGTTTATTATTTTTTTATAATTGCTCGTAAATGGATTTATGCCAATATATTTTTGATATATTTTAATGTGCAAAATTTGAATGTTTTAATTGTTTACATTTAATTTATGTACGAGTAAAAGTTGAAAGATGTAGAATTTAAATATTGAATACTGTTACAATCTACATATTACAGTACATAAGATGTGTGTGTAAGAGAACAATGTCTGTCTCGATGTGAATAATGTTATTATCAATTGCAAGCTATTAATCTAAGTTTAAATATTAAAAAGAACAAATATTGGTTTTTATTTAATGTATATTAAGTAAATGCAATTATATATTATTGTAAATAGTGAAATTTTAATGTAATAAACTATTCTGAAAATATATAACGCAAAGTAAAGAAAAAATTTCTAAAATTTGTTTCATTAAACCCAATTGCGTTGTTTAGTCTTCAAGATAAAATAGTTGAAAGTCACAACCATATAAACCAGTAACGATCCAATAACTACAAGAAATAATATTATATATATTATATATTATAAGTATATAGAAGAAGAATATTGTGTACCCATTATTTGTTAATTTGATAGTATTTCCTTTGCCACGGAGTGCTCCTTTAATTTCTTTGTACCTTCCATCAGATTTTCTTTAAGAAATATATTTAAAAATATTTAAATCAATTTTAGTTATTTAATATATATTATAAATAAATAAATATAATAATAATTATTATAAATCTTTGTCCATAATCAAATAGGTAAAATTAAGCCCATTGTAATTACGAGATTTATAAATAGTCTAGAATTGTTTTAGTTTGGTCTTTAGGCGCACAATAGATCTTTTAGGTCGAGGTACATTCATAGCCTATTATATAATAATAATAATTTATTTTATATAAAGTGAATTATGCGGTTGACTGCATACAGCTGTTTTGGATATTGAAAAATATCCATCAACATAAGTATTCCAAACAAATAAGTTTATATATATATATATATATTTTTCAGTTGAATTATCTGTATATAATTTTAATTATAAAAACTTAAATTCATAATGACTTTAATGAATATTTAACAATATCCGAAACAGCTGTATGTGATCAAAAACTCACTTCATGAAAAATAAATATTTAAATTTCATCAGTTGAAAGTATTTTAATTGTTTGTATATATGTAATTGTAAAATTATAGTTATTTATTTAATAATTATATATGAATCTATACAGACAATTAAAAACATTTCAGAAACCAACTGTATATAATTAAAATTAATTAATTATATATATATGATTATATACGGATAATTAAAAGCAACAGTTATCCAAAACAGTCCAAAATATAAATTAAAATTTTTTTTTTAAATTTTAAGTCCATTTTCGAATTAATTTGTATTTTAATTAAACGTTTATAAATAAAATATATTTGAATAAAGTATTAGTGTTGCTATAAAGCTACGCTTTCTTTGTATGGTGACAAAGAAGCTTTATTAAAATTTAGAGAGTTTTCGAATAACAAAGAAAGAAATAAAGGACAAACACAAAAATTTATTTTTAATTTTATTGAAGTTTGGCTGACCACACAACGCTGTTTCGAGTATTGCCAAGTACTCTTCATCAGTGGTCTTTGGGAATAATCGAATATTATTTAATTAGTTTATAGTCCGTATACAATTTGTTTGGACTGCAAGTGCCAGGCTTAGAACTCGTGCCTGTCAAATTAGAAGCGATGACTAATCGTGTTTATCCACAAGAAGCCAAGGCTGCACAAACTTTCAATGCTCAAGTTCCAGGTTTTATTGTCACTTATTTTTATTTAATTAGTGACAACAACCAACGCACTTGCCGTGCTTTTTAAATAAGAACGAGCTTATAAACTTCAGCTTTATTTTTAGAAACACAAGTTCAGCGAATTGAAAGTTTAACTTTTGGGTTTTGCCTATTTCTTTATTTCTTTTCAAAGCTACTCTTTTTGTAGAGACATTTTGTAATGCATATTGTTTTACTTACTATATGTAAAGCGACCATTTTGGTGCTTTTTACAAAGAAGCTATGCTATGTTATTCTACAAATCCGCTTTCGCGGTTAGGAAAAGTTGAACAATATTATATTTTAACATATTGTTCTTTACTTTTCACAAGTCTAATATTTGAATAAAGTATTAGTGTTACTATAAAGCTACGCTTTCTTTGTATGGGGACAAAGAAGCTTTATTAAAATTTAGAGGGTTTTCGAATAACAAAGAAAGAAATAAAGGACAAACACAAAAATTTATTTTTAATTTTATTGAAGTTTGGCTGACCATACAACGCTGTTTCGAGTATTACCAAGTACTCTTCATCAGTGGTCTTTGGGAATAATCGAATATTATTTAATTAGCTTATAGTCCGTATATAATTTGTTTGGACTGCAAGTGCCAGGCTTAGAACTCGTGCCTGTCAAATTAGAAGCGATACAAATTATATACGGACTAATAAACTAATAAATAAAATTCGATTATTTTCCAAAGACCACTGATGAAGAGTACTTGGCAATACTCGAAACAGCGTTGTATGGTCAGCCAAATTTCAATAAAATTAAAAAAATAAATTTTTGTGTTTGTCCTTTATTTCTTTCTTTGTTATTCGAAAACCCTTCTAAATATATTTAATTAATTATAATTATATAAAAATATTTTTGGACTGACCATGTACTTGTTTGGGTTTTCAACATATATGAATTCAGTTGCGTTTGAAAATATTTTTTTAATTTCATTACTTGCATATAGTTATAATTATAAATAAAAAATATTCATAATTATATAGTCATAATTAAAATTAACAAATATATCGAAAGACTACTAGTGATGAATATTTGGTAGTATCCAAAACAGCCGTATAATCAGTCCAAAATTTGACGTAAATGAAATTAAATTATTTTTAGTTAAAAAATTACATATAAATAAATATTAATAACTATTAATTATAAACCACTTGTCATATTAAACAAGTTATCTTGAACAAGTTTAAGATCTTGAATATTTAATTAGATTTTATTATTAAAAAAAATAGCACCTGTAATATACTAATGAACCATCTGTTCCTGGACTATAAATAACGTTACCGTCTCGAGAGCTTGCAATAACATTTTTAAAGGGTAAAGGAATTTTTATAATATTATCAGTTTTCTAAAACATAGAATTGTTAAAATTAGATTAATTAAATTAATTAAATAAAATACTTCTTCTATTTTAATATCATGAAAGTAGAGTTCGCCACTCATATCACAGCTTATTACATAGCTGTCACCAGGTAGTGTTCCTTTCAAAAGTGTGGTGACAGCAAATTGATGGTTTTTAAGTTTCATTACTTTCAGAACCTTCTGACCTGTGCGAAGAGTTTCATTAAAGCAATTATAGATGTTGCCATCACTTGTCCCAATAACAAAATTTTCAGGACTCAAACATAATATTGTCGTGATCTCAGTTGTACCATTTGATTGGAGAATATTTAACCATCTATAAAAATAGTTTTTTATTTTCTTCGTTTACTAATAATAATATATTTATTTATAAATTAGTCACGTGACTTAAATGCCCAGACAAGTCAAGTTTGGTACTTACATGATATAACTGATTTACAATAAAGAAGCTATAATGTTCCATTTTTAATTGTTAACTTACTGATTTGATTTAACCATTTCCTCTCCAGTGAACCATTGCAAAACGTTACCATTGGCATGAGCAGTGAACAAAGAATTCGGTGATGTCCACTCTATGCCAACAGCGGAACCATTTTGTGAAGTCACTTTAAACAATTGCTGTACTTCAAGTGTTTTTGAGTTGGAATCATGTTGACACTTCCAAACATAGATTTCGCCATTATATGTAGAACCAGCAAAAATATTTTTATTGTAGGGATTTGTAGAAAGACACTTCAGACATGCATCAACCGGTACACTTTTCATTTTATTGAAGACAACATAATCAGTTTTAATACGTTGTGGCACAAAAATGGTTATACTCTGTTCAATATGTTCACACCAATCATCGTGTGGTGCAACCGATGTGACGGCTAACATAGGTGCATTGTTGGTGTGAATCGATAGCCAAATAGCTAAACCTTGTGAGTTTTCTGTAATATTTTCAATTGATATTTTTTGATACGGTTCAATTTTTAAATCTTGTGGCTTTTAACTAGTTTCATACTCCAAATCTAGAACCTCTGAAATTAGTCCACATTAGTAAATTTCAAGTATCTAAGGTAATATCGGTCCTAGCGGGACACTTGACTATATGACGCCATGGAACCAGGCTTTACAAATCTTTTGTAGTAATTGTCTAAAGACATAAGTTCTTATGCATCCCATTTTTGGGACTTAATCTAAACCATTTATAGTTTAAATACCCAACTTTCTTTCCATAATATCGAGAAAAGTGATAACAAAAAAGCTTTGTTAGTTAATTGAACTCGATTTGATTCTTTTACACCTATGCTGTTAACGCCGCGGGTTTATTGAGAAACCGTGCCTTAGACTAATCTGTAGTGTTACTATCTCTGCAGTTTATATACCCCACATTCTTTAGCGGCAGATAATGTCTACTAGTTTTTAACCCTGGTCATCTATGGGCCCTAAAATTAATATATTATCAAATATTAATTTGAAATTAATAATCCCTATTTACATTTTATTTATTAAACTTAAAATTTAATAAAAATAATAATTGTTTATATATTAAATATAATTTTATTTGTACCTATTTTAAATTTATACGAATTTTTTATTAATTTTTATGAAAAAAATAAATAAATAAATTTAATATTTATTATTAAAAGCTATACAAATAATTTTATTCCAAATATTTTATCCATTTAAAATATTTTATATTTTAGGGTATATATGATGCTCACATTGCACTAAATGGGTATCCATTTTTGGATAGCAAAGAGGAGTTTGCTCATACAACACTCGCTGCAGATGTAATGCAGCCTAAGTAAGCATAACTTAATATATTTATATAAATTTAAATACTATTTATTTTTAAATGTATTTTTAATTAAACTTTTAAATTGCAGACGAAATGAAACATTAAATGTCATAACGCAGGACTCAATGACTGTTGATGACGTTGAAAATTTACTAAAAGAAACTGAACATAATGGGTATCCTGTTGTGGTATCGAAAGAAAATCAATACTTAGTAGGATTTGTTTTAAGAAGAGATCTCAATTTAGCAATTGGTAAGCAGAATTTTAAATTAAATTACAATCATAGATAAAATGTTATTACACTTTTATTATTTTTTAGCAAATGCCAAACGACTTATTGAGGGTCTTAATGGCTCATCAGTAGTACTATTCACATCCACTATGCCAACACAAAATCTTGGACCACCTGCTTTGAAATTAAAGAAAATTCTCGATATGGCACCAATTACCGTTACGGATCAAACGCCAATGGAAACAGTTGTCGATATGTTCCGTAAATTAGGTTTACGACAAACATTAGTAACACATAATGGGTAAGTAGGATATAGTATGATTATTACTATAATTTAATAACGATATTGATACAAATGATAAGTGAGTGTCTTAATAAGTTTTCATCCTAATTTTATAAGAATATCAGAACTGATCTGAATAAAATCCTTTTTTAAATATTTAATAAGTAAAATGAATCAAAGATTTTTTTTAATAAGTATATAATTATGTTTTTATATAGTTACAAATCCGTTAATCCATATCAATTCCACAACATTTATGCTATATGTTTTCATATGTTTGTTTGTATATTATATGCATATTGCTTGTATATATTGTATATTTAAATTCCTTTTACATTCATATTCTTATCAATTGTTTTATATATACTAGTACATTTATATATATTAAGTGCTCAAGAACTGAAAACGTCCCGTAAATTTTGGAGTTGAACTAAACTAGGGGTGTTTAGAAATCGAAAAAATTGTATAGAATATTTTGAATATTTACCAAAATAAAGTGTGTCTAAAGACCTTTCTAAAAAAATCGCACTATCCTAAAAAAGGTTTATTCAAATTGCTGAGTTTATATATTGAGTTAATCTAATTTATTTTTTTTTTTAATGTCTAAGATGTCATTGCAGTATAATGTTACAGAAAATTTTAATTTTAATTTTTTATAAAATTAATTGTTATTTTTTTAACATCTTATTATGGGTAATTAAAGAATGCCACAACGCGTTCTGGGTGGAATTTAATCTAACCAGTTTTATACTACAAATGTCAGTCGTTCTTTTGTCATATGCCAAAAAAAAAAACGTATATATTATCTTTTAACCCCAACACATTTTACAGTTATGTACTATGTGATCAATTTAGCTCATTCAAATAAATAACTAAGTGCCAAGTAACAGCACTAAAAATAATGACACATTAGAAAAATTAAATAAAGGAACTAAAAATTGCTAGCTAAACAGCATTAAAAATTATAAAAAAAATTTATATATTTTCAATATTAAAATAACTTATTTTTTTATTATAGACGTCTCTTGGGTGTTATCACGAAAAAGGATGTACTGCGGCATGTGAAAAAAATGGATGATGAAGACCCTAACACGGTTTTGTTTAATTAAATATAAATTAATTTAAGTAAACTAAGTTGCAACATTATTGTTAGCGACAGTCATTTTAAGATGTACGCGTTAGCATTTTAAAATGCTGTTTATATTTGTCATTAATAGTAAAATTCTTTATTTTTTATGTGAAATCTATATTAATTTTTTGATGTTTATTTTTTTCGTAATTATATTTTATGTACAATATATTTAACGTCATTAATTATAAAAAATTATTTATTATTATATTTGTAATATTATGCTATATAAAGTGATCGTAATTTACTTTTAAAGTGACTATTGAGATATTATATTTAATTTACTCATTTTTAGTTTAAATGTAAAATCATTAATAACTTTTGTAAGCAAAAACTTTTATTTAAACAAAATCGATGTGTTACTACTATTCGTTTATTATTATTTTTTTATAATTGCTCGTAAATGGATTTATGCCAATATATTTTTGATATATTTTAATGTGCAAAATTTGAATGTTTTAATTGTTTACATTTAATTTATGTACGAGTAAAAGTTGAAAGATGTAGAATTTAAATATTGAATACTGTTACAACCTACATATTACAGTACATAAGATGTGTGTGTAAGAGAACAATGTCTGTCTCGATGTGAATAATGTTATTATCAATTGCAAGCTATTAATCTAAGTTTAAATATTAAAAAGAACAAATATTGGTTTTTATTTAATGTATATTAAGTAAATGCAATTATATATTATTGTAAATAGTGAAATTTTAATGTAATAAACTATTCTGAAAATATATAACGCAAAGTAAAGAAAAAATTTCTAAAATTTGTTTCATTAAACCCAATTGCGTTGTTTAGTCTTCAAGATAAAATAGTTGAAAGTCACAACCATATAAACCAGTAACGATCCAATAACTACAAGAAATAATATTATATATATTATATATTATAAGTATATAGAAGAAGAATATTGTGTACCCATTATTTGTTAATTTGATAGTATTTCCTTTGCCACGGAGTGCTCCTTTAATTTCTTTGTACCTTCCATCAGATTTTCTTTAAGAAATATATTTAAAAATATTTAAATCAATTTTAGTTATTTAATATATATTATAAATAAATAAATATAATAATAATTATTATAAATCTTTGTCCATAATCAAATAGGTAAAATTAAGCCCATTGTAATTACGAGATTTATAAATAGTCTAGAATTGTTTTAGTTTGGTCTTTAGGCGCACAATAGATCTTTTAGGTCGAGGTACATTCATAGCCTATTATATAATAATAATAATTTATTTTATATAAAGTGAATTATGCGGTTGACTGCATACAGCTGTTTTGGATATTGAAAAATATCCATCAACATAAGTATTCCAAACAAATAAGTTTATATATATATATATATATTTTTCAGTTGAATTATCTGTATATAATTTTAATTATAAAAACTTAAATTCATAATGACTTTAATGAATATTTAACAATATCCGAAACAGCTGTATGTGATCAAAAACTCACTTCATGAAAAATAAATATTTAAATTTCATCAGTTGAAAGTATTTTAATTGTTTGTATATATGTAATTGTAAAATTATAGTTATTTATTTAATAATTATATATGAATCTATACAGACAATTAAAAACATTTCAGAAACCAACTGTATATAATTAAAATTAATTAAATAATATATATGATTATAAACAGATAATTAAAACAACAGTTATCCAAAACAGTCCAAAAAATAAATTAAAAATTTTTTTTTTAAATTTTAGCATCATCTTCGAATTAATTTGTATTTTAATTAAACGTTTATAAATAAATATATTTAATTAATTATAATTATATAAAAATATTTTTGGACTGACCATGTACTTGTTTGGGTTTTCAACATATATGAATTCAGTTGCGTTTGAAAATATTTTTTTAATTTCATTACTTGCATATAGTTATAATTATAAATAAAAAATATTCATAATTATATAGTCATAATTAAAATTAACAAATATATCGAAAGACTACTAGTGATGAATATTTGGTAGTATCCAAAACAGCCGTATAATCAGTCCAAAATTTGACGTAAATGAAATTAAATTATTTTTAGTTAAAAAATTACATATAAATAAATATTAATAACTATTAATTATAAACCACTTGTCATATTAAACAAGTTATCTTGAACAAGTTTAAGATCTTGAATATTTAATTAGATTTTATTATTAAAAAAAATAGCACCTGTAATATACTAATGAACCATCTGTTCCTGGACTATAAATAACGTTACCGTCTCGAGAGCTTGCAATAACATTTTTAAAGGGTAAAGGAATTTTTATAATATTATCAGTTTTCTAAAACATAGAATTGTTAAAATTAGATTAATTAAATTAATTAAATAAAATACTTCTTCTATTTTAATATCATGAAAGTAGAGTTCGCCACTCATATCACAGCTTATTACATAGCTGTCACCAGGTAGTGTTCCTTTCAAAAGTGTGGTGACAGCAAATTGATGGTTTTTAAGTTTCATTACTTTCAGAACCTTCTGACCTGTGCGAAGAGTTTCATTAAAGCAATTATAGATGTTGCCATCACTTGTCCCAATAACAAAATTTTCAGGACTCAAACATAATATTGTCGTGATCTCAGTTGTACCATTTGATTGGAGAATATTTAACCATCTATAAAAATAGTTTTTTATTTTCTTCGTTTACTAATAATAATATATTTATTTATAAATTAGTCACGTGACTTAAATGCCCAGACAAGTCAAGTTTGGTACTTACATGATATAACTGATTTACAATAAAGAAGCTATAATGTTCCATTTTTAATTGTTAACTTACTGATTTGATTTAACCATTTCCTCTCCAGTGAACCATTGCAAAACGTTACCATTGGCATGAGCAGTGAACAAAGAATTCGGTGATGTCCACTCTATGCCAACAGCGGAACCATTTTGTGAAGTCACTTTAAACAATTGCTGTACTTCAAGTGTTTTTGAGTTGGAATCATGTTGACACTTCCAAACATAGATTTCGCCATTATATGTAGAACCAGCAAAAATATTTTTATTGTAGGGATTTGTAGAAAGACACTTCAGACATGCATCAACCGGTACACTTTTCATTTTATTGAAGACAACATAATCAGTTTTAATACGTTGTGGCACAAAAATGGTTATACTCTGTTCAATATGTTCACACCAATCATCGTGTGGTGCAACCGATGTGACGGCTAACATAGGTGCATTGTTGGTGTGAATCGATAGCCAAATAGCTAAACCTTGTGAGTTTTCTGTAATATTTTCAATTGATATTTTTTGATACGGTTCAATTTTTAAATCTTCTTCGTAGCGATTTGCATGAACCTGTGATAATGGTGTTGCACCTTTACGAAGTTCATTCTCAACACCTGGGAGTATTTTTTGTAACCAACTTGCCAGTTTTTCATCATCAACCGTTGAGGTGCTAACAGAAGTTACTCCAGTTTGTGTTTGTGTTCCTTCATCGTTGCTTACAAAGGTTTCAGTGGATTTGTTCACGTATTTTGGATTTATATCAGTAGTAGTACCTTTATCCAAATATAGAACCTTACTTCCTAATGGAGTGGTTGGCAAAAATTCTATAACTTCAGAAGTGCATTCAGATAGTTCATCCATTTCATACCTTAATAAGTTTTATCTTATTAATGACAACTGAATAATAAAATATTGTTTTGATTGCTTGATTTTGGTTAAGAGTTGCTATGGAAACATAGGTTGCTTAGTTTAAACAAAAAACATATAATATTTGAATAATACAAACAGGTGTATTTACATTCACTACCAGAGAATAAATGTCCTAACTGATATTCAGGCAGCAATCAAGGCACTCAACTTTCATGAGGTGACATCAAGACTGTTGACGGAGTGTTCTAATAATATCTCACCAAAACAGTCGAGTTTGAGTCCTAGCGGTTCAAGATGTATAGGAATTTCTATGTAGGAAAATGGCAGACAAACTTGACTAGAAATAAGAGTGTCCCTGCTTGTAGGTATGTAATAATTCTGGGGCTTCAATAAACGTAATATATTTCCATTTATTCGGCAAAAATTTGAGCAAAAGAGAAAACAGTTTTAGGACAATTTAGCAGCTCTATCAATCAATCAAAATTGTATAAAGAAACCTTTAATGAAAATCTCTTTAAAAATTGTATGAAATTAAATAACAATAACTCAAGATGCATTATAGAAATTTTGTCCGGGCACAGTATGTGGTATTTGTAGATTTTGTAAAGCAGATAATGAGAGCACAAAACACGTTCTGGGAGTTTGTCTGACACTAATGCACACTTTATAATATAATAGTGTGTATAATAGATAATAGATAAATAGATAATAAAAAATAATTGATAATAGATAAAAAAAATAGCTCTATAAAGTAGTATTAATAAAGTTGATAGTAGGAAACATATAAGGGTTGGTGTTAGCCTCTTTTAAAATAATGCGGACCATTTTTGACAATATCAAACAAATGAAAAATAAAATCTGCTACTTTGATAGTTAAAGAAAATAATATCTATATAAATTAATTAAAAATAAAGGACGTCGATAATATTATTAAATGTGAAATTGAAATTATTATAATTCATTATTGCTGTTTACAAATAATTCATAATTGTTAACGATTTTTTTTACAATAAACACTATTAATAATAATTTTTATTCTGTATAAATAACTGAACTTATATTACTAATTGATTTGCTTAACCTAAACTTGCAAAGCGAATCAAATCGGATATCGATTCTCTGGGTACCGGAACAAACTGGCGTACGCGGAAACGAAAACGCAGATAAACTAGCCAGGAAAAAAGCAGCCAGGCCGATGATAGGGCCGGATTAGGAGAACCAGATAAATGAGAACCAGAAGAAAAAGGATTACTGGGATAATATACCAGGATTAATACAATTTAAATCACTTATTGGTACCGATAACAATAGGAGATATCAGGATTGTATAGAATTATCCTAAGAAAAACTTAGAATTATCATAGGAATCTTAATAGGACACTGTGAACCAAAATGCTACCTTACGAAACTGGGTATATATACGGATATAAACTGTAAATTCTGCGAAGAGATAAGGAATCAGCCAGACATGTGCTGTTAGAATGCTCCTCGCTAATGCACAA